TCTATACTAAATCAGTGGTTGTGACTGTAATGTATAATCTGTGTGGATAGCACATGTTTGACGTTTGTCCTGAAACAGGTGTGCTAAAATTTTTAGAATTTAAGGGCCACTTAAAAAAAGGGCTTCAAAAATCAATCTCCAAAAAAGTATCAATGGGGAGGGGTGCTTCTGCGTATGCATGAAAATTGCTGCACAGCACCAATCAGCATTTCCTTGTAGTGATCATTATACCAATGCAACTTTATGGGGAGAGTTCCGTGTCTTCATGTAGAGCTTCAACATTGGTCCTGCAAAGATTGCAAGATCGTAACAGGAAACTCTCTAGTCATCATCTGATTGACTTGATTAAAAATAATGCTTGCCACTGTGCAGAGAAAGCTCAGGCTGTATACCAACAGAATAAATGAATGTATGACCTCTGCAATAGAGGCAGTTCAAACTAAAATGAATTGAGTGACCATCTTTCTAATAGTGGAAACTCTGACTATATGACAAAGAATACCTGAATGTGTGTATAACCAAGATGTATATAACTGAATAGAGATAACAAAGGTGCCATAACAATAGATGCACAGAACCTGAAATGAATTAACATTCATAACAATAACAATATGAAACATGTCATATGACAAAACTCAACCTAAAATATAAAACAAATAATAGATGCATTAAATACAACCAATCATTTCTTGTTTCTCCTTATCCTCCTATCCCTAGATATTTCAGCATAACCATGGCTTGTAAAAGTCACAAATGACACATTTTTGTAAAATATTTAGGTTGACGTAGACATCATATGTACCTCATTATATGAGCACAATTTGATAGATACTTGAACTCATCCTGAAACCCTCAGTCCAGTCCCTTTGCAGTTGTTTAGGTAATACAGAAGATGAATTTCTATATTTTCCTTTAGGAAGCCTAAGTGTAACATGGAAAATGCAATATATTAATCAAGAGTAGCACATTAAATAATACATAGCAGATTATATAAACTTGGATAGACTGAATACAATAAATAAATCAGCTATGTTCATCTCTTATGGTTCAGGGCACTTTCTTCTTGGCTCACTAATTATTTAAAGGTTGTCCTTATCTGTGATCGAGTATAATTAATGAAATAGAAGATGTTTCTGTTCCCCCTCATTTGCACTCTGTGTCCTGGCTGTGCCTGGACCGAACTGGGCTGTGATTTTCTCTTGTATAATATCTTGTGTATTTTATACACATAATATATAAAATATGTAATTTTTTTGTGTGTGTAATATCACCAACCATAACATTTATTATAATCTTCTACATATAAATAGAAGGAGAGAACAGAACCCAAATACAGCAATTTGTAATACAGTAATACACTGATCAGTCGCAACATGATAACCACTGATGGGTGCAGTGAATAAGTTTGAGTACATTGTTACAATGGCACCTGTCAAGGGGTGGGCTATATTCGCCAGCAAGTGAACGATCAGTTCTTGAAATGTTGGAAGCAGGAAAAATAGGCATGTGAAAAGATCTGAGAGAGTTTGACAAAGGCCAAATAATAATGCCTTGGCAATTGGGTCAGAGCATCTCGAAAACGACATGCCTTGCGGGGTGTTCCCGGTATGCTGTGGTTAGAACCTACCAAAGGAAGGACAACCACTGAATGATTGCTCAAGGCTCATTGATAGATTAGCCTGTCTGGTCCCATCAAACAGATGAGCTGCTGCAACTCAAATTTCTGAAAAACATAATGCTGTCTATGATAGAAAGGGTCAGAACAAAGTGCATCGGTGCAGTTTGCTGCATAGCTGCAGACTGGTCAGAGTGCCCATGATGACCTCTGTCCACCACTAAAAGGGCTTTAAAGGGTGATGTGAGCATCAAACAACTATTTTCAAACAAGCAATCCTAGTTACACTGTTTGCTCCCAAATTTTACAAATCAATATTCAAAGAGTTATTGGATTCAGAGGTGAATATTTAATTCACCATGTTTTGTAGGGGTATCAGATGAGACAAATTAGTCTGGCATCTACCAAATCCTCAGCACTGCAACTATGGCAGAGCTTATTTAATCCATTCAGCACTCATCGTTGACCATGTCTTCTTCAAACTCTAGCACACCAGATGTTACTAAAGTACAACGCCCATGATTCTCTGGCTATATAATTCAAAGAATCATAGAAATTGTAGTAAAGCAACATCATGTTAAGTTAGATGTTTTTGATGTATAGGGAAATATAGGTGTCTAAGGACCTATTTGATATAAAACTCATTGCATTACCCTCAGGTTGTAACTGGTTATATATCTCTTATGACTAATCCACCTGCTTTGAATATATGAACTGGTTTAAATCCCAAGGGTCCCCTCGGCCATTCATCCTAATGAGGTTGCTGAAGTCAATCTATTTGGTAAAAATAATAGTAGCACATGTTAATGTTTCCACAACCTGAAACGTGCAAATGATTTATTTTGTTATTGTCAGATAGAACCCATGGGGAACTTGTCCCAAACCACTACCGCAAACATACAATATGTATTATTTCTATTTGTTAATGTCTTCTCTCTCTCTTTTTCTTTCAATGCTATACACAGGTTTCAATAGCAAGATACTCCAGCTGGCAAGTTGCATATATTTTATGGGGTACATTTCTATTTGTATATTAAAAAAAATAAACTAAAAAATATTTCTTATTGATATTTTTTGTAACCTATTTGCATTTTTATCTCTTTTATAGGCTACATGATAATGAATTTTGTGCAAGCATGCTTTGGATTGATTTTTGTGTATTTAATTGTTTATCCTATACGGGACGGTGAATTCTGGATTTTACTATCGGCAATTTTACAAGTGTAAGTATATTAAGTCATTTACTTTATGGTGCATCCCATTATCATTTCAACTAGCAGTAGTGTAGTAACACTAGTATATATTCCTGTATTTCTTAAAGTGACAATGCCTTTTGTCAAAGGCAGGGACTAAACTAGAATACAATAGAAACCTTCTCACTGTGAAAATGTGCTGAGCCAATTATACTTAGACAAAAGCAAGTGAAGATGCACATAGATGTGGGCCTGTTTGGTAGGCATGTGCAATTTGTTTCGTTCTAAATGTGAATTCGGACGAATTTTGGGCAATTCGGACATTTGGATATTTCCGAATATGCGAATAGCCGAATTGCCGATGTTCCGAAGTTCAGAAATTGCTGAATCTCCGAAGTTGCAGAAGTTCCAAAGTTGCTGAAGTTCCGAAGTGTTGAAGTGCTGAAGTTCCGAAGCACTAATATACCCAGTGGAAGAATGAAGAATGTTACACTGTATACGAGTTTAAATAAAAAGTATACAAACATAGCCAGGATTCAGCTGTAAGCTTTTGCAACACTTACAACAATCAAGTAACACATTCATATAAAATGTAAGTTACTTAGCCAGTCAATAGAATGACAGGAATGAATAAGTAGATAACTCCCTAATTCCCACAGTATTAGGGAGCTATCTACCAAAAGGCTGAAAGGCCTAAATTGGTCTTTCAGTCAAATTTACTAATACTAAGTAAAAATTACTTAGTATTAGTACATTCTGCCCCTACTCCCTATACCGCGAGTAGGGGCATGTCTATTAAAGAGTGAGCCTGTGGCTGCTCACTATAAAAAAAAAGTGTCCCCCTATTGACCTATTGCCCCTCCTCCCCAGCCCTCACCCCTGAGCGGCGGGAGGGGGCCCTAAAGTAAAATAAGGGGGGGACCTATTGTCTTTCCCTCTGGCCCCCACCCCTGAGCGGCGGGTGGGGGCCCTAAAATAAAATAATGAAGGTTATTGGTATTTAGGGTCCACACCCACCGTTCAGAGGTGGGGGCCAGGGGGAAGAACAATAGGTCCCCCCTTATTCTAATTTAGGGCCCCCACCCAACGCACAGGGGTGGGGGCCAGGGGGGAGGACGGGAGGACAACTTTTACTTTAAGGCCCCCATCTGCTGCTCAAGGGTGGGAGCTGGGGGGAGGACAATAGGTCCCCCCCATTTTTCTGATTTAGGGCCCCCAGAAATTTTGTTACAACATTTTCTCCCCAGAAATCTCCTCAGGAGAATATTTTATAATTCAAAGTCTCAATTGTTTTTTTTTTTTTTTTCCTAGAGAAATTCTAGAATTCTATCTAGGTTGAATGCATCTAGGCAACTGATGCAGATTTACACATGCCGACAAAATATCAACCGTATTTGGCTTTAGTTAATATAAGAATTGCCATTGCAGTCAAAATTTGGTAATTTTCACCTGAACTTTTCTGTCCAAGCAAAATCCAAATTTTAGTGAATAACCCTGGAAGTGTTGTATATTGTGTATGTATATGCGCATGCGAAAGTGCACCAGTAAAAAAAACTCTGGCACCCAGATGTTGCTGAATTACAACTCCCATGATTCTTTGAATTACATAGATAG